CCGAGGGGAAGGTGGCAAAGGGGCAGAGAGCAAACCCCCCCCCAGCTGCTTCTCCCTGCAACCCCTCCGGCAGGCGCAGCTGCCCTGGGATTTCATGCCCCTTGTGTCTCTTGCGAGCTCAACGAGCGAACAAAGGGGTCCTGCAAGATCCGCTTCCTCTGTCCCTGAGGCAGCACAGACCCTCCCCGCGGGGGGGGGGCGATGCCAGGGCACATCCGAGCCCGGCCCTGCCGCTCTCGCCGCCCCTTCTCCTGGCGGCGGCACGCAGGTGCGAGTGTCTCCGCAGAGGCGAGAAAGCTGCCCGTCGCTTCCCCTGCCTGCAGGCCCCGCTGGCCGCGGGAGAGGCAGAAGAGCGGCCGCCGCCCCCCCGCCGGGCCCCCGCTTACCCCGGCGACGATCTCCTGCAGAGCCCGACGTCGGATCTGCCGCCGTGGGTCGCTTCCGGGGGGGGGAGGCGGCGGCGCAGCCCCGACAGCATCTCCGGGGCACGGCGGGACCGACCGGGAGCGGAGCGGAGCGGGGCGGGGCGGAACGGGGCGGGCGCCGCGACCGCCTGGGATCGTCGCGCGTGCGCCGCGCGCCGCGGCGCGAGAGGGGTCTGCCCGCGCCGGTGCCTGCCGCCGCCCGCGAACCTGCCGCCCGCGCCCGGCGCCGCCGAGCGCCCCGCCCCGTCCCCACAGCGGGAAGCGGCGCGGCGAGACGGCGCTGCGGGCGCGGGGCGGGGGTCCGGGTCGCGGCGGAGGTCAGGCGACAGGATAGACGCCTCTCTGAGGCCAGGGCGGGGGCCTCTCGCCGCCATCTTGAGTGTGGCCTCGGCTAAGTTCCGGTCCTGGCGGCGCCATCTTGAGTGTGGCGTCGGGGCGAACTTCCGGGCCGGGGCCGCCATCTTTAGTGTGGTCGTTCCGGTCCTGGCGGCGCCATCTTTACCGTGGGCTTGGCGGACTGCCGGGCCGGGGCCTTGGAGGACTTCCGGTCGCTCTCTACTTCCGGTGACCGAGTTTACCCAAATTACCGGCCCTCCTCGCTAATTTCTGCGCTTTCACCCCAAAAAAATCTTCACGTTATTCCCCCCACACACACCCCGCCAGAGACGGGAGACCGCCAGTCCCGCCCTGCCGCCGGAACCGGCCCTTAACTCGAGCGGGGAGCGCTGCACCGTCACGAGAGCCACTGCGCATGCGTCGCCGGTCCCGCTCCTGGCTGCCCTTACCTACCACGTGATCGCCGGCGTCTTGCCAACGACTGCGCACGCGCCGCCGTCGCCACCTTGCCTGCCCCCCCCACCCCGCCGCCCGACCGCCCGGCTTCGCTTTCTTACTGCGGTTCCCCCTCCGCTTTTTCGGCTCCCTGGGGTTCCCCCACCCGCATTTTGGGGTCCCCGTCTCACATTTTAGGGGTGATGACCCCGCAATTTACGGTTCGGGGGGCGGGAGGAGAGGAAACGGGGTGCCCAAGAAGGGGTTTCTTTTTTTTTCTTTTTTTTTTTTTCCTCTTTTATTTCATTTTCATTTTATTTCCTTTTTAGTTTTTTTGCCTTTTTTCTTTTTAATTTTCTTTTGTATTTTATATTTCCTTTTATATTTCGTTTATTTTTTATTCTCTTTATTTTTCATTGTCTCTCCCAGTGCTCCCCAGTAAACAACCCATGCGCCCCAACAACCACCAGGAACACCCAGGGCTCCAAAAAGTTTTTTTTTGGACCCAAAACCGACCCAAATCACCCCAAAGCTGACGCCAAAAACTGACCGCCAAAAGCTGACCCGAAACTGACCACCCCAAAACCTGACCCAAAACTGACCCCAATGACCGCAAACAGTGACCCCAAACTGACCCCAAAACCTGACCCAAATCATCCCAAAACCTGACCCAAAACTCTGCATTTATTTGGCACCATTTCCTCCCAGAAACAACATCTCCGATTTAGTTGATTGCGAAAGCCATCATTTTAAAACCATCTCGGGAAGCAAAAGGCACTGGAAAACACACA